CATAGTGTCTAAGTGTGACGATTTTCTCTAAAATTAGATTTTGATAATATATTATATATATATATATGTATAAGATAATTAAATTAGATACTTTGACAAGATTTCTTCCTACAATCAACTTGCAAATAAGTTTGGAATTACATGTTAGGTTTTTGTAATTAAAAATCCCGTTTGACAAAATTTTCTCTCAGTTGTAATTTTATTTGCTCTTTTGTTTCAGTGAAGATGTGAGTGTTTAGATGTGAATCCAACCCGAATTGTGCTTATGCAGAGGATGTTGTGATTTTGAGACTTTCATGTTTGCCACTTGGCTAACTATGTACAAGGATTGAGTAGCGCCCCATGGTGAGTTTAGGGTAGCACCCAAGAAGGGTCGAGGGCAGCTCCCTCGAAGCCAAAGTTGTTCGACCACTCGAGCAATTCATTTTGTGCTCAAGCAGTGAATGGCGTCATCCAGTATTTTTGCAAAGCAGACTGAACCTCTGAGAGAATCTTTTATGCACTTGAGCGGTGGGTATTGGCTTGAGCAATGGGCACGCGATTTAGTGAGTTTGCTCAAGTGATGAAGTGGTCGCTCGAGTGGTCTTCACGATTCAGTTTACTATAAAGTACGCAGTTTGCTATTTTTAGGTTTAAGTCGTCCAGAATCTGAGAGTGAGGGACAAGACAAAGTGTTTTCTATTGTAAGCTGTTTTATATGAGTTTTCCTTGGTGCATGGAAGGTGATTGATTGATCAATGAACTACAGATTGTCAAACATCAAGGGTTGTTCTTATTATTTTGTTTATAAAAGAGAGAGGTGTTCTTCAGTGGATTTAGGAGAATTTGGGCCTGATGCTTTGTGGATTCCGAAGTGGTTCATCGTGTGGATTAAACATGGCGTTGTGGATTCAACGTTGAGCAAGACAATTCTAAGGTGACGAAGGTGGTAGAAGAGGCACATTGGGTCGGTTCAATTCAGGCGTGGATTTGCTAGGTGATTGAGGGTACTCGTGTTATCCTTTTTTATTTCTTAGTGAATTGTTTTGTATCTTTGACTCGTGATTTTTTATCACAATTGGAGGCGCTCTAATTGTGATTTTTCCACATTAAATTGTTGTGTCGATTTGTCTTGATTATTTGATTGAGATTATTATTTAGTGTTTTCAATTGAAACAACATACCAATCAATATTTCGGAGATTTTAGATTTTTCATTACATTACCAAAAATCTTCAATTCTTTTCCATTTATAATTTTGAATTTCATAGTTTGTTTAAAATATTTATTTTATACTTAATTAATTGTAACCATTTATGTAACTTGTGACAATAAAGTATTTTGTAATTACACATGACTTGATGAGTCATAGAATTTTCATAGGACAAAATGGAACATAAGTTATATGGATTAGAGGTTGTTACTCCACGCAGCAACAACTGTTGTGCAATTTATTGAGTCCATTCTCCAAAACCAATTTCAATAATTCGAATTGTTCACTTTTTAAAAGATATCAAATAGAATAAATTTTATAAAAAATTATATTGATCGGAATTTGGGATGATTGCTGCGCTAATAATGCAACAACCATTGTTGTGCGGCTTTTTCTATTTAGTTTTAGACTTCACATTACACTTACCATTCATTTTTTTAAAATATAAGTGTGATTGGATGAAAGGGTTACTCATGTCTGATCAAACATGATTTTTTGTAAGTATGTTTTACTCGATATATCTCTAAAAAACAAACAGTTTAGATCGTCTAAATGAGCCCCAAAAATGAGCCTAAAATGTCGCACAATAGTGGCAGTTGTGCATTATGCGAAGTAGCCACCCCAAACTTGTTGACCGGAATTAGTAGCATTTTCATCAAATTACATTAATATTTAGTTTTTATACTTCAAATTACATTTATCATTTATTTTTGTAGATACAAATGTTGTTTTATAAAAGAGCTATTGATGTCCATCAGTTTAATTTTTTACAGGTATTTTACTCGATATATCTTAAAAAATGAATGATTTAAATTATCAAAATGAGCCAATAGGTTGCACACTAGTTTCTACTGGGCATTGTTTGTTTATTTAACAAGAAGTAATTTGTGCTGCCTTATTTTATTTAATGAGTCCTCAAATTTGTTAAATTTTAAAATAATAATTATTTTTTGTTCATAAAAAATATGAAGTATTAATTTTGAATGGTTTTGTTAATAGATGTTCTTAGAACATATGTTATGATTGTTTAATCAGTTTGTTAATCCGTTGCACAATCTTTCTAAGAAGTAATTTAACATGCATAAGAGCACCCTAAACAAAATCTATTATGAAAAATATTACATATGAATTCAAAAGAAATGAAATATTTAAATAATAAATGTATTTAATTTAATGAATAAGTTAGAAATATATATTTTTTAAATATAAAAATTTAATAAAATGTTAAATGTGTCACTTGGAACATTAACCTTTGAAAAGTATTACAAAATTTTTTTTTTTTTTATCATTTTATACATTCATATAATATATGATTGTACGTGTATATTTGGACTCCATCATATTTAAATATTGTGAAACCATATCAAAAATTTGAAACATCAGCTACGTGAAAAATTTCATGAGAAATGAAGGGCTTGTTTGGTTTGTTTTTGGAAGGATTTTATTTTTTTTATTTTGTTTGGTTTGTAGTTTTTTTCAAAAAAAAAAAAATTTAAAATCACCTTTTCTCTCTCCCTCTCATTTTCAATCATTTTTTCCTGCACACATGTACTGAATTATAACAAAATATCAAATTATCCCAAACTTTCAAATTCTAAAACTACTTTTAAAATATGTAACAAACAAATCAAAAAAAAAATTTAATTCTCTCTACAAATTTTTTAAAAATTTTTTCTCGCAAAAGCAAACTAAACCCACCGAAAAGTTTTAAATAAATATTTATGTGATGTATAAACACCTTTTAAGAAATGAGAACTGAGGCCTCGTTTGGGATATGTTCTTTTAGTAACTTTTTGGTTTTTTGGCTAAAATGTGATGTAAAAAAAATTAGATGTTTGGATGACTTTTTGCTTTTAATGAAAAGATGTGCAAAGAGTAAAGAGAAAATGAAATCTTTAACTTTTGATATGGGTTGTTAACTTTTTATTTTTTTAGTAACTTTTGGACTTTTTGACTAAAAAATCACTTGCCAAATAGGCCTAGAAGTGTTAAGAAAGGATAAGGAGTTAGAAAAGAGCAACAATGGATTAGGATGAGCCTAAGATTGGTAGAACGGGCAAAGTTTGAAATGGTAGGGTAAGTAATAGCGGTGGAGTAGGGTTGAAATGTGACATTGAGGTTAGAAATGGATTGTCCAAGGTAGCGGTGGCCATAGTATGAAATAGAGTTAGAGTTGAGAGTGAGGTGAGGGTGAGGGTAGGGGTGTAATTTTGGCCTACGGCCCGTGGAGCGGCCCGAGGTGGGCCCGGCCTGTTAAGGCCCGAGCCAAGCCTAGCGAGGCCTTAGGCCTAGGCTGGGCCATTGTTTTGAAGCCCGTCCTGACCCATTGGCCGGCCCGTGGCCCGCCCAAAAGCCCGGCCCACCTAGGCCTAGTGTTATTTTTAATGAATAATAAAATTCTGGTAGAAAAAATTTTAAAAAATAAAAAAAAAATTGTTTAGACCGCCTAACCCGAGCCCAGGCCTGAGGCCCGCCCCACTGGCCCGCCCATAGCTCGAATACCCCTGGGCTTGGCCTAATTTTTTGACCCGTGGACCGGCCCGGCCGGCTTCATTTTTTGCAGGAGCCTGCAAGGCCCGACATGGACCGAGCCCGGCCGAACCGGGCCAAAATTACACCCTTTAGGTGAGGGTGAGGGTTATCGTTCAAATGTTAGAAATTGATAAAAAATAAATAAATTGACTTTAACTGGCTGAAAAAATAAAAACTCAAAATAGTGAGAGCCCAAAAAAATGTAGGGGCTAAATAAAGCAAATAGCAACAATCATATTTATTTAATGGAAAATTCTAACCTATACTTTTAAAAGGGGGCATGTTTTAATTATATATATATATAATTATTTTTAATTATAATATTATTTTAATTATATTTATAAGTTTTTAATTATGTTTTATGTTGTATTAATTATAATAATTTTTTTAATTATAATTTAAAAATATAAAATTATATATATTTTTTTTTAATTATAAGGTATACACCTCTTATTTAATACTATTTAGGGTAAATTACAAATATAACCCTTTGTGGTTTGCTTAAAATATAAATTGTCTCATGTATTTGAAAAATTACAATATTTCCTTGTTAAATTGTCAGAATTTTTTATTTAACAGAATTAATTAAAAAAATGAAATTTCTAACTGTTCACCTATACAATAATAAAATTATTTGAATTATTAATTGAATTAAAATTTTAACATTATTAAAAATTATTAATTAATTTGATGATTTATTAATAAAATGATCTATTTATTATCAAATTACAAACTTTAGAGGACATAATATAAATTTTAAAATTATAAAAAATAATTTACAATTTAAGTAAATACAAAAGAATGTGTTTGTAATTTATCGTAGTATTTAATAGTATTTGACTATTTAATAGTTGCGGCATTTTCCCTTATTAGGGGGTTGTTTGGGGGTGTCCTAAATAAGTGTATTTTTTATTTTTTTGGACTAAAAGTTGAAGGAAAAAATATGAATATTTAGGTTAACTTTTTTGACTTTTTATGAAAAAATATGTATTAAAAAATTGTATAAATTAGTTTGTAGAGAAAAATTAGAATTGGAAGTTATGCAGCCGTAATTTTCAACTTTTGATAAATAGTGATAACTTTTTAATTTTTTGACTTTTTTTACATTTTCCAAACTTTTGATAAATAGTAATGATTTTTTAATTTTTTAACTTTTTTTACACTTACCAAACTTGACCTTAATATAGTGTTTGACTATAATGAGAGGAAAAAGGAAGAAAATAAACATTACAAAAAGACCATTCTATCCCTTTCCCTTTCTATATAATTCTGACCGTCCCTCCCTAATCTCCACCCATCCATTCTCCCTATCTCTATCTACATACATACATTTTCATATTTCTGAACAAGTGGTTATCGCCGGCGGCAGGCTTGAGTCCACAAGAACTGGCTAACTCACAGGAAATTCTGGAGGAGACTGGCAATCAAAGGGTGGTGCTCGCCCTATATGAAGCCTTGAGCGCTCGAGACGTCGACACGGTTCACAAGCTCCTGGCCTCCGACCTCGAGTGGTGGTTCCATGGCCCTCCTTCCCACCAGTTTATGATGCGCCTCCTCACTGGCTCCGAAATCAACGACTTCCAATTCTTCCCCCAGTCCTTCGCCTCCTTCGGATCAACCGTCCTCGTTGAGGGCTGCGATCACACCCGTTCCATCTCTTGGGTCCACGCCTGGACCGTCACTGATGGGATAATTACTCAGGTCAGGGAGTACTTCAACACGTCCCTTACTGTCACCCGCCTCGGCGTCACTGACCAATCCTCATCCTCAATCACCTCCCTCCACTGTCCCTCCGTTTGGGAGAGCAGTGTCTCCGATCGGGTCGGAAAATCTGTTCCGGGTCTCGTCCTGGCTATTTAAATCGGGTCTTTGCCGTACAAGAATAAAAAAAGGGTGTATTAGTACAACCCGTTATAACGTGTATGGGCTGAAGTAGCATCGCGTATTGCGCGTCTCAGACGATGTAAGATAGTTATCGTTGTTGTGTTTGGTTTGGCTTTGTGTGGTTTTGTGTTGTGTTTTTACTTTTGATTAGGGGAGTGTTTGGATTCAGTGTTTTGTGCGTCCCGATCATGGTGTGGTCGGTCCCAGATGTGTCTGTTCTATGGCTTGTTGGTTGTACAATAAAAATTATTTCTTGTGGTTGGCTTCTTAATTTTCTCGTATTTTATTTAAGAAAATCTAAAAAAAAATGTTTATATTTCACTTTGAAGTACTCTCTGGCATAATTATTATTTATTTATTTATTTATTTTTCACTATTACTCAAAAAACGAGTGAAGCGAGGTATCCATGGCAATGTTAGGTTACCTAAATTATTGAAATAAAAGTGTATTATATTTAGTTGAATACGCTATGGTAAGAGAACCAAAACTAGCGATGATAATTGTTCACAAAAATTAGAGAGTGTGCATCCACGTTAGCTTCAATAAATTAATTAATAACTTCTTAATTAAAGGTGACAGATAAGCGGGAAAATAAAAGAAAATAAAAAAATAATATGATGATAATATCACATAATTATTGGCATGTAAACCAATAGTAGATTGTCGCAATGCAGGTGTAGTCAAATTTTTATCTTGAAAATATTGCTCTATCAACTTTAAATAATTAATAATTGCTAGTACAACAATAGTAGGTATCATGAAAAATCTTTCATGTAAATCATCATGAAAAATTTGTGACCTTTGGATTACACTTACTTTAAAGCACTTCACACTAATCAAGGTAATCTAAGGATTACAAATCTTTCATGATCTCTAACATTTCTCTTGCTAGTATAGGGGTGTTTGGTGGGGCTTTTTTGAGTCAACTTATGATTTTTGGTTTTTAAAAAGTTGTTTTGGACTATTTGGTTAAACTTATTTCAAACTATTCTAACAATTTATTTTAAGTCAAAAAAACTGATTCTGAGAAACTGCTCACCCCTTACTTCTGATTATCAGCTTCTACTGTGGACATGTTAATTCACAATTATACTCTTAGATTTTTTTATTTTTTATTTTTTTCAAAATAGAAAAAGACTCAAATGGATTATAAAATATTATTATTATTTTTTATGAGAAATGTAGACAAATAGTGAATAATAAAAAATAAAATTAATTGAGAAAGTTACTTCACAGTTTATTTAACAAACACTACTCAGCAACTTAAATCTATAATCCAACAGTTACACCAAACAGATTAACAGCTTCTGATTAAAGTCATAATCTATAATTTGTTAAGGTGTAATCTATAATCTATTTTAACAGTTACACCAAACAGCACCATTGACTATTGTTTTGGGTTTAAAAAAAATATACATATATATATATTTTATTAATTTATTTGAATCATATTATCTTTTTACTTTTTGACGTGTTTTTTCAAATTAAGTAAAAAAAATTAAAAAAATAAGTCATTCTCAAAGCGGTAATGGTATATTATTTTTAATATAAACGTGTTTGACGAAAAAAAGAAAAAAAAGAAAGAAGGAAAAGAAAAAGAAGACTATTTGATCCACACTTAACGATGTCAAAAAGAGATTTGAATTATTCATTTATGTCCCAATACAAATGGATGGTCTAAATCTGTTTGTTGAATTGTTATGATACAATCACATGCAATGAGCAAAACCATTCGATTGTATTAAAATGCGCTTGATTGACTTTTTAAGGATTTGTTTAACTGCATTTTTGTTTTGTTATTATTGTTTTAAATACGAAAACTTATTTGGCTAATGATCTAAAAAGCACCATTGACTATTGTTTTGGGTTTAAAAAAAATATACATATATATATATTTTATTAATTTATTTAAATCATATTATCTTTTTACTTTTTGACGTGTTTTTTCAAATTAAGTAAAAAAAATTAAAAAAAATAAGTCATTCTCAAAGCAGTAATGGTATATTATTTTTAATATAAACGTGTTTGACGAAAAAAAGAAAAAAAGAAAGAAGGAAAAGAAAAAGAAGACTATTTGATCCACATTTAACGATGTCAAAAAGAGGTTTGAATTATTCATTTATGTCCCAATACAAATGGATGGTCTAAATCTGTTTGTTGAATTGTTATGATACAATCACATGCAATGAGCAAAACCATTCGATTGTATTAAAATGCGCTTGATTGACTTTTTAAGGATTTGTTTAACTGCATTTTTGTTTTGTTATTATTGTTTTAAATACGAAAACTTATTTGGCTAATGATCTAAAACACTTCATTTGTTGATGAAAATAATCTAACAAAAAAGATGATCAGAGTCATTGTGTGTTCTAAACAAATCACAAATAGTGGCTGACGGATGGTCAGTTAGGAATACTCAAATACCCAAGTTAGCAGATTTTTTCATAATTTTATTTATGAAAACATGTAAAACCAAAATTGAAAAGCAAACTCAACCAGACAAGCTTTAAAACAAACTATGAATCAACACTAAACATTCAACAAATATGCCGACAAAATAAAACATGTAAACCAATTTTATTATGCTATGTTCAAAGCACATCAAATTTAAATCTCCATCATATACTTAATTTTTAAAAACTATTTTTATTGGACAAGTTTCCGTTTGTTTAATGCATCATTTAGAGATGCTATTAGGCTTTATTGAGCATGTAGATAATTTACAGTTGGAGTAAAACGTTGTTGTACATCGTCTAGTCTTATGAACTAAACCACGTGAACGCAAGAACTTGACTTGGTAGATGAGACTTTGGGAGTTTGCTCCTTCTAGGGTTTAAAAACTTGTTTAGTTTGGAGGGACTTAATCTGATGTGTGTAAGAGTATGTATGTCATGTTAAGCCCGACCTGACTCGACATAACATCGAGTCTAACTTGGTAGGGTGAGTGTGATCTAGTTTAAGAGTAAAATTATAATAACCAAACTGTAGTTTAGGCGGTTTTAATTTACTAGTTGATTGAAGAATAATTTTAAACAATTATTAAGCATTTCATAATAACACTAATTTGCATAATATTTTTTAAGGTGGATTATTAATAAATCTCAAAATGTGATCATGTAAACTATTTAGTCCTCCTTTTTTTTTCATTTTTTTTTTTATGAATTTAAAAGTTCCATTAAAGTGAAAATTATACAAAAAGGTTGTTACTTACATGTTTGGGTTTAATTTTTTAGGGATAAAAATAGATTTCTCCAAATGTGAAATTATACAAGGCAATCCACACTATAAAGGTCTTGATTTTCTATTGTAACACTCTAATATAACATTCCAATGTAACACAGTAAAGCATTTCTTAGTGTACTTTTCTCTAATATAACAATGTAGCACTCTAAAAAAAGCTCCTTAGTATACTTTTTTCAAACATAACACTCCAATGTATCATATAAAAAGACTTTTTAATATATTTTTTTCCAAACGTAACACTTCAATCAATGTAATTTTAAATGTAATATTCTAATGTGATATACAAAAAACTTTTTTAGTGTAGTTTTTTTAAAGGTAACACTCCAATGTAACATATACAAAAACGCTAAAAAAATTCTTTAGTGTACTTTTCTTAAACGTAACAATGTAACACTAAAAAAAACAAAAAAAGAAAAATCTTTAGTGTACTTTTCTTAGATGTAATACTATAATGTAACACACAAAAAAAATTCTTAGTGTACATTTTCCAAACATAACACTCCAATCAATGTAATTCCAAACGTAACACTCCAATGTAATACACACAAAAGCACTAAAAAAAATTTCTAGTTTACTTTTCTCAAACGTAACACTCACAACTAGAAATTATATATTTGCCAAAGCTTATTAAGGAATTTTTATACTCTTTTTTGAATGGTTTGAAGAATCTCACATCGTTTTATAATGATTTGAAGAATCACACATTCATTTTTTGGAGTGTTATATTGGAGTGTTACGTTTAAAAAAAGTACACTAAATGATTTTTTGTGTGTGTTACATTAGAGTGTTACACTAAGAGTTTTTTTTGGAATGTTATATTGGAGTATTACATTTGGAAAAAATACACTAAGGAGTTTTTTTGGAGTATTATATTGGAGTGTTACATTTTGAAATTATACATTTGCTCAAAACTTACTATGGAGTTTTTGTACTCTTTTTAAAATGTTTGAAGAATCCCACATCCTTTTAGACTGTTTGAAGAATTTCATATTTCAAGTCAGTTTTTTACTCATTTTGAAATGTTTTCGAAATAAAAAAGATTCCCATATGGAAATTCATCCCCAAATTTGATTATCATAGATTGTGTATTTTATCTTTCTAGTACAAAAGAAAAAATATAATAGAAATAAGGGTATAACCACAAATTCAATTTTTAAATAATATATTAAATGGAAAACTTCACTTTTTCCCCCTATGGTATAGGCCATGTGTGGATCACCCTCTTGACGTTCGAATATCACCACATAACCCCCATGTAGTTGATGGAGTAATGTGCACAGTTAACACCGTTAATGGCAGACGTAAAAAGATCAATTTGCCCTTGTACATATATATAGATATCTAACCTTGCTTACCATTTTCACTTTCAACAGTCATGCATCTGAAAAGAGGAAGTAAAGAGAACCAGGTTGTACGATTCAACAAATTAGGGTTTCAATCGAACGAAATAGTATTTAGATTTGAGAAAGAAGGGCTTCGATTGTTTGATTGCCACTGATTTGGAGATTTACGAAACAAATGAGGCCCAAAAGTTCACGAAGAATAAGTTATGAGGTATTTTTTCAATAATTGCTTTTTATTTTTGTATTTCATTCAGTTCGATTTGCTGATATATATATATATATATATAAAATGTTAGTTGATATACTTGTTGTTGTTGTATACTGTGGTCTCGTATGTTTTGTATATTAAGGTTTGTGTGCTTTCCTTTTTCGTACCATTAGTGGTTAACTTTTTGTCATGAACACTGTGTTCGATACAGTTCTTCATATCCTATTGCGATGGTAGTTTTGTATATATGAAGTTGTTCATATACTGTGGTCCCCTATGGTTGTTTGTTTATTTGTAATGGATGATGTCAGTGTATTACTTTGTTTAGTTGTTGTCATTGTGTTTTATGTGAGGTATGCATTGGAAAGGGGAAATTTATTCCTAATCCTCAATGTATTGCTTTGCTTGTTTCCTTCTTCAATTAACTTTTAACTTTATGCCTGAAGAATGGGTTTTTTTAATTCTATTACTTTATG